ATCAGAGACAACTGATGATGAAAAAACTACCATCCCCAGGGATCAGCAGTTAGCGTAATGGCTATGTCACTGCTTTAAATTTCCATGCCAATTTACAACCCCCATACTGTACCAGGTAAGGTTAGTGGCTACTGAAAATACCACCAGGGCAGGGCTAGCTAAAGACACATTCGGTAGTGTGTTAACTATACAAAAGAGACACTGTACAGTTTAAAAACGAATCTTACACAACCTTACATTTCAATTTTTTTCTTTAAAAGGAGCTGTGCATAGGGGGGTTAAATGCTTTATAGACAAGAAAAAAGAAACTGTGCTAGAACCAACTTATTCATTGTCACAATCTTTTTCATCTTCATCCTCTTCACCTTCCTCCTCCTCCTTCGTTTTCTTGCTCTTTTCAGCCTTGACAACTCCCTTTTTTGCTGCATCAGGCTTTCTTTTAGCTCGGTATGCAGTAATATCCTTTTCGTATTTTTCCTTCAGCTTAGCATGAGGATGTTTATCATTTCATGAGCCTTCTTTTCATGAGGCTGTTTATCATCTGCAGCAGTGTTACTCCACATCTCTCCCAGTTTCTTTGCAACATCATCAAGGGCTAGACCAGAATGTTCTCGTTTGATTTTTGGGCGATATTCAGAACAGAACAAGAAAAAGGCTGAAGGAAGCCTCTTCGGTGCATTGGGATCCTTGAACTTCTTTTTTGTTTCCCCTTTAGGAGGGATATAGGTTTTCATTTCTCTTTCATAACGGGCCTTGTCCCCCAGTGCCGTATCTTCAAACTCTCCTTTCTCTTTAGCAGACATGGCCTACCACCTCTCTGAGCACTTCTTAGAAAACTCTGAGGAGCTGATTGAAGCATCCGGGTGCTTCTTGTGCTCTTCCTGGCAAGTTTGCACAAAGAATGCCTCTGATGACATTTCGCTTCTCGGCTTCTTAGGATCTCCTTTGACCATGTTTAGTTATCTTTCCTCAATGAGACAATTGCCTAAAGCCTGCCTGGCTCCCACTTGCCCTGGTGCGGTCTCTATGGAGCTCAATGTACTCCATTTTTTTTTTTATAATTTTATGTAACTTTATTTGTTTTAATTTGATCAGAGAGGGAGAGAGAGAGAGAGGGAAAGCAAGCTGCCAGGTCCAGTATTTGAGTCGCCAGCAGCTATGTGGGAGTCCAGCGCCCCTAACCACCACGCCACCTGTCGGCCCCGCTCCATATATTTTTAAGGCTTCTAGAAACCAGTATATGCTGTAATGGTTACATAGCTGAACTCCCACATGGTTGACTATGATTTAAATCCTGGACCTGGAGGTTTCAAACTCACACCTGGTGCATGTGTGTGCTCAAAATCTAAAAAGGAGAATGGAGAAGGCGGTACAGCGTGGCCATTCCCCCTGGGGGTAATTTCTTGCTTTCAGTCTCTTTGTGTCTCCAAAAAAAAAAAAAAAAAAAGAAGGCGGCTTCTAAAAATGTTCATCATAAGGCCCAACAGAGGCCAGTAGGTAGCATGGTAATTAAGGTACTTAATGCCACATGGCTGATTCTGTGGTTTAAGTCCCAATCTGGCAGCTTGGAAATACATGTGGCATGTGTGCATACATGCCAAAAATCCTGAGAGGAAAATGGAGAATGGAGAAGGGAAGATTGCAGCATGGCCGCCTCACCTGGGAGGTACTTTCTTTTTTTCTCTCTGTCTCTGGTGAGTGCAAGTGCCAGATACCAGGATTAAAAAAAAAAAAAAAAGTGAAGGGACTAGCAGTTGGTCACTGGACCTCCACACATGGCTGACTTTGGTTTAAGTCCCAGACCTGGCTGCTTGAAACTCATGCCAAGCACAAGTGTGTGCATGCCCAAAACCTCCACAGGAGAATAGAAAAGGTATTGTGGCATGACCATCCCCCCTGGGGGATGACTTCTTACTTTCCTTCTCTGTCTCACTCTCTCTCTCTGGAGAGTATATGTGCCCTATGACAAAAACCTAAAAAATAAAAAATATTCTAGTTGTTTAAATTCTAGGGGGCCAGCCCATAGTTAAGGTGGTTAAGGTGACTGCATCTCATATGTGGGATCTGAGTGCTTCACTCCCAGTTTGAATAATAGGATGGGCAGGGGCCTGCAGGTGGCGTGGTGGTTAAGAGCGCTGGACTCCCACACGGTCCACCACAGTTTGAATCCTAGACTTAGCGGCTTGCTTTCTCACTTTCCTTCTCTCTTTCTCACTCTGTCCCTCTCTGGTCAAATAAGAAAGAAAGGAAAGAAAGGAAGAAAGGAAGAAAGAAAGAAAGAAAGAAAGAAAGAAAGAAAGTTAAAATAAATAAATCTTTAAAAAAATAAAATAAGAAAGAAAGAAAAACAGGATGGGCACATGTGCCCAAAATCTTAGAGGGAGAGATGAAGGAAAGGAAATGTTGCCTGACCATGTCCCACATGGAGCTTTTCCCCTTTCCTGTGCTCTCTGTCTCTCTCTTTAGCAAGTACACATGCTCTCTGACAAGATAAACAACAACAAAAAAAGTCAGGACCAGCAGTTAGTGTAATGGCTATGTCGCTGGACTCCCATGTAGTCGACCGTGGCTCACGTCCCGGACCCGGTGGCTTAAACTCACGCCGGGCACGTGTGCGTGTGTGCCCCAGATCCCGAGAGGAGAATGGAGAAGGGGTTGCGGTGTGGCCATCCCCACTGGGGGGTGATTTCTCGCTTTCTGTCTGTCTCTGTCTGTCTGTCTGGCAAGCGCACACGCCCTATAGCAAAAAACAAAAAAAAACACAAAAAAACAAAAAACCTCTCAAAAAAAAAAATCACACACATTTGTTTTTAAAGGTTTTTGCCATAGGGCATGTGCACTCACAGGAGAAAGAGAGAGGGAAAGGGAAAAATCACTACCCCAGGGAATTTGGCCATGCAGCAGTCCTCTCTCCTCTATTCTTTTCCTCTTGGGGCTAATGTGCACATGTACCCAATGTGAGTTTCAAGCTACCAGGTACAGGACTTGAACTGCAGCCAGTAATGTGGGAGTCCAGTGCCTTAACCATCACACCACCTGCTGGCCTAAACCACACATTCTTTTCTATCTGTCTCTCTCTGACAAGCTCATAAATCTTCTAGTAAATTTTTTTTTTTTAAATCTGGGTTATCATTACCATTTTTATGAGAATATTAGTGATCAAACAACATAAAGATTATACGAAGTTTTACTATTGTTGAAAGAGAAATTTTGACAAGATAGAAGAGATGGTGCTCCTTGTGCTTTGATGAAAGTAGGCTACATGTCTTTTTAAAAAAAAAAATTTTATTATTTTTAATTATTTATTTAACTTTATTCATTCATTTATTTTTATTTTGACCAGAGAGACACACACACAGAGAAAAGGTGAGAAAGCAAGCCACCAGGTCTAGGATTTGAACCGTGGTCAGCCATGTGGGAGCATCCAGCACCTTAACCACCATGCCACCCACTCGTCCTGAAAGTAGGCTACATGTCTTTAAGACAGGTAAGATTACTCCAGGAGATTGCACACTTGAGCAGTATACTTTTTCTCCCCTGATAAGGAAGAAAGGCCCAGACTAAGCCATAAGGTTGGTAACATACTGAACTGCAGTGCTGGAAGCCACGTGGCCAGCTGAGGGCTGGGATCCCAGACTGGCTGACCTGAAATATTCAGGGTACCCACAAGCACAGGAGACTGAAGAATTGGGGGATGGGGTCTCAGTGTGACAAGATCCTATCGAGGGTGTGTGTTTCTCTTTTATATAAGCATGCGCATATGTCCTACCATCCATTTTTAAAAAGATTATTTGTTTAATTTTATTTATTTAGTATTGTTTTTTAATTTGACCAGAGAGAGAGACAGAGAAGGAAAATGAGAAAGCAAGCCACTAGTTCCAGGACTGGAACTGTGGTCGTCCATGTGGGAGTCCAGCACCTTAACCACCACACCACCTGGTGGCATCCTACCATCAACTGAAAAAATAAAATAAAGAAGACTACTTTTGGAAAAGCTGAGGATTTAGAAATTAAATCCCTTTTATCTCCCTAGTCCTAGAAGGCAGCAAGATGCCCACTTCTTGTAGAAATGTGAAAGGCTGGAGGAACAATCTCAGCGACGGGACCGTGTTAACCTTTCTGGTTTCCTCATAAGCTCATCTTTTGACCCAGCCTTGCCTCCACCAGTCTCTCCAGCCTCCCTAAATGGGCAAGGCCGGCGTGGGAGGCCAGCGTCACAGTCGGCTCTTTCCTAGCATTCTTTTCTCAGCTCAACCAGAAGAGGATACGAGACTGTATTTTATGCGCTTCATTCCGTCTCACAGTGCTCACGGCGGTAAGTGGCACAGGTTCCTCTGTGTCCCCGCCCGGTGGTGGCCAGTCCTCAGGCCCTGGGCCTCCAGGACGCGGCACCGCCTGCAGGTCTGCACGGCCGGCTCTTCGGGCACTTTCTCCGGAGAAGAGCGGAGCGCCGCTCGGGTCCCGCCTGCTTGGCTGGTCAGCAGTTCTACGGTGGAGCTTGAAGAGCACATCGTCAGCGGGAGGAGTAATAATAACACGCGGCTCGGCGCGCTGCGCTGGTCGCCAAGTACGCGTCACGGACTCGCGGCCCGGAGAGCAGCACCTGCGAGCAGAAGCAGCTGCTGGACAGCGGCAGGGGGGGCC